CAGAATAGTCCTTTATCTTAATTGAAGTGGTGGTTTCACAAATCTACACATGTGATAAAATAGCAGAGAGCAATCATACACAAATATTATACCTCTGCCAACTTCCTGGTTTGTATATTGTGCTATATTTAAATGAGAGGTAGCCATTGGAGGAACCAGGTGAAGGGTACCCAGAACCGCCCTCCATACTATCCCTTGTGACTTTGTGATAATCTGTAATTACTTCAAACAAAAAGTTAAAAACAAACAAAATATTTTATAGGTTAAGTTATCCACTATATTTGCAACATTCTCAGGACAAACCTAGCTTTATTAAAAGCCTGGGAGAGCAAGCTGGGTGCCCTTGATCCATTTCCTGGGCTGGCCTGATAAGGAGGCTAAACCCACTGTGGGAAGCATGGTTTTCCAGTCAGTGCTCCCTTCTGAGATCCTGTGATGACCTAGAGTAAGCATTTAAGAACTAAAATCAGTTTAGCGCAGTTGGTGCTAGAAGCAAAATGTCTGTTGAGTGTTCTGCAGTGACTGCTTCTGACTTTAGGATAGGATAAAACAGCTCTTCTTCTCTCTTGTCCTCTGTCCACACCAGCACAGAGGGACTTGGGTATTCACACATTCATTCGACATATATTTGGAGCAATTGCCAAGTGTTTTTCCGGGTTCTGAGGATACAAAGATCAAGAAAAAAATGGCTCTATAATAAGGATAGGGCATTTAAAATACCTGCTTATTTGCTCCCAGTTTCATTCCATGAAAAGCCAATGAACTAAGTAAGTGTTATAGACATCCCAATTATTTCATACCTTTCAAGAAAGAAAAACTAACAGGGAGAAATGATACACCGAACCTTATTCTGACCAACCCTAAGAATTGAATAGAGAAGTGCAGTAATCAGATCCCTAGGGAAAGCGAAACCGTCTTCTTAAAAGCTCTTTCAGAAGGTAAAATGTCATAGCAAGGAAAGCTGAGCATCCAATCAACTACCTGCCTAGGTTTAAAGAAGTAAGACCTCTGATCTGACACTCCAGGAATGAGAGTTCCTGGAAGGCTGTCAAAGGTGAAGTTCAAGAATCTTGATAGCAAAAGACCCTGCTGAAGAATAAATGCAGGGAACGTTTATAGCAATAAAAGTGGCCACAAAAGTATCTGTATAAACATATAAACAAGCCAGAGAAAAGAGCCTGAACAAAGAGCTTCCAAAACTCTAAGACCCAGAAGGATCTGGACTGACAAAATTATAAGAAAAAACTTCCAAATTCTACCCCTTCTATGATTACCAAGTATATTTTAAGATTTATGCTCAAAAGAGTAAGAACTAGACATACTATTTGGTGGCTTGCTTTCCTTTCCTTAGCCCTAAAGAGTAACTGCAGGAGGCACTGTGCAGGCTCAGAGCCCAGACCCCAGAGCCAGAAAACCAGGTTTCTAGTTTTGACTCTGCAATCAATTGGCTGGCTTTCCTGAGATAATTACATCACCTTCCTTATAGGGTGGTATATGATTTCATAAAAATATCCATGTGACATGTCTAACAGAGTGCCTGGTATGGTAAACTGTAGCTGTTGTTTTTTTACTATTACTATTAAACTGGAAAGAATACAATGGATCAGATAGATGAAGAAGTCTAAGGATACTTGACTGATCATACTCAAGCAGATGGCAATAGAACAGCTAATCATGATGATAAAAATAAGAACTATATATGAGAGGTTGACTGATTGCATAGTCATGATTGACTAAATTATTGGCCAAGGAAATGGAGCTAAGAGATGGAGAGACCATGGCACTGAGCCCTGGTACATTACTCAATCCAGCCATGAAGGAGACTGAGTCCCTTTGGATTTTTTTACATTAGCTAATATATTTTCATTCCCCACCCCACTTTGGCCTAAGTCACTTGGAGTTGAGTTTCTGAAACTTGATTAAAACAGATGGTCAGCCCTTGGAAAGGGAAACAGAGATCACTGGGAACTAGCGTGGGTCAACAAAAAAAAACAGAAAAACAGGTCATGTCAGACTATCCTCATTCCTTGGCTAGATCAGCAGATCAAAGGAATGCTGTAGGCTAGTGTAACTGGACCAGCAAGGTTCTGGTGGTCTCTCTTGTAATATCCTTACAAGTAAGAAATAAGATGTGATGGAGAGGCTGGGAGGATGGTGGCAACAGGACAATAATTAGGGACTAAAAACTGGTAAAATTACCCAATTCAAAAACGTTGAAGAGTGTCACCCTCTGGGATCTGCCCCATTTTATTAAAGATCTGCCCACTAGTTCTTTTGGTGCTTTCCACCTCTAAGACCACCTGAGTCTAAATCTCCACCACTTTTCTCCTGGACTAGCTCCACAGCCTCACACCAGAGTGGAATGGTCTTTCAAAAACATGAAACTGCTTTACTTCTCTGCTTGAAACCCAGACAAGTTTTCCCTGATTCCTATGCCCCTTCCAAAAAACCACTTCTTTCCCCCAGTAATTATTTTTCTTACTCGATTTATTTTACTGGTTCATTCACTAGAGTACAAGCTCCAGAAGGGCAGGTGTCATGTCTCTTTTATTCATCAACACATTACCTAGTGTCTATTCTAGACCTAGCACACAGTAGGTGCCCAAGTAGTTGAATTAATGAATGAGTGACGTCGATCAACACTGGCAGAAGAATGATCAAACTGCCACTAACACTGTTACAAGTTAGACTAATATCATACACAACTCTTGGAAGCTGCCAAAAAAAGAGCAACTCCCCTTGAATTTTATATAAATGGAATAATACATTATGTATTCTTTTTGTCTGCAAAAATATTTTGAGATCCATCCATGTTGTAGCATGTATCAATAGTTTATTACTTCTTATTGTTGAACAGTGTTCTATTGTAAGGACATACAACTGTTTGTTTATTCATGCACTAGACAAACAACTGGTTGTTCCCAGTTTCTCTATTACAATAAAGCTGGACCTAATAATACAAAGTCTGGATCATGTGATACTTGTATATTTAACTTTTTAGAAAGATATCAAACCGTTCAAAAGTGGTTGCACCATTTTACATTCCCACCAACAGTGTATGGAAGTACATACACTGTTTCTCTACATCCTTGTCAATGGCTGGAATACGATCTTTTTATTTTAGCCATCCTAAAAGACGTGAAGTGATATCTCTTTGCGGTTTTAATGTGCACTTCCCTAATTATTAATGATCCTGAGCATCTTTGCAAGTGTTCATTTGCCACCCGTATAGCTTCTCTGGACATCACAGTTTGTTTGAATTACAAAAGAGGCTACTGCTCATTATATAACTGGACAGGCAATACACAAATTTATATAGAGTCCCCCATTATCAACCCCATCCTCCAACACAAACATAGATACCCAAAGGTGCATAAGAATCATCAGGAACAATTAATTAGTATGCAAATTCTTGCCCCCCTTCTTGAAGATTCTAGTTCAGTAGGTCAGAGATGGGGCATTTTAACAAGCTGTGATCCGATGCATTTCTTAATCACAGATCAAGATCATTTCCTGAGAAATTCCGCTCTTAACCCTGTTCTAAGAAGTGGTTGATGGGATGGAGGTAGTAGTCTGGAAGGAAAAACACACTGAAGAGGTGCACAAGCTGCCTTCAAATGAGGAAATGCCTTTGCCTGGGAGAGCAAGCATGTCTGATCCATGTCATCCTAAGGAGCACCAAAAGTTTGGAACCTAAAGGTCAAATTAGAAAAAACTTTCCAACAGAGCTACTGTGAAACGAAATCAGGCCACAAAACCAGGAAGGGAAGGAACTTGCCACAGTCACCGAGCTTGCAGAAAAGGACTTCGCTGGGTTGAGAAATGACTAATTGGGTGTGAGGTAGAGAGAGGGCATGGGACATCCCAGACACACATGCATACACTTTCTCTCTCTCTTTCTGAGAAAACTTCCTCTTTATAAATAAACAGAGGAATGTCACCCACTGGCAGGTAGTGTCTTAACCCAAGCTAAATAAAAGCTACTTGCTCTAAGCCGTATTTCCCTGGCTGTATTTGCAAGGCCTAAAATGGTAGAGAAAGGAGACACTACAGTATTTTGTAGGAGTTCTTTTTATAGATAAGTAGGCCTGCCAGGCCCTGTCCTCACAATTTCGGGTTCATAGATTTTAAAATTCTTAATCCTGTCAATAAGCAGTAGGCTTTGGGCAATCATGCTCAACAAATGCCATTTTGCTTCAGTTACAGAACCCAAAGACAGACGCCCCCCATCAGTTAAATAAAAAGCCATTTATTTGACCTAGAGCAGCATCAACCAAGACACTGTTCACCATGCAAGCTGCTGATCCAAGGTGGTTGTGAGCCAACTGCCAGCAACTCCCATACCCTGGCGGAAACTGCATTAAGCCTCCATGCCCAGGTCCCCATGTATGTCCTCCTCTTTCCTCTCATTTAGAAATAAACTACACAGGTGCCAGCTCCATTCCAGAGAGGCAAGCAAGACCCAGTAAACAGTCCTTGTTAGACTGGTAGTTTCTACTTTCAGCATCTCACCATGGGTAAAATATTGATGTGGTGCATTCATTCCTGAACTCTTCTTTAGATTACTGTCACCAAGGTAAATGCTGCCTCTGTAGAGAAGGTACTCAAATTTCTAAGGGGTCAATAACCCGAGAAAGTTAAGAACCACGCCTGCGCCGGCTACCAGCAAACTCTACTGCCTTCCAAGTTCCCAGTGCTCACCGTGCAGGGAAGGCGAGCCGCAGGGGCAGGCTTCCGATCCTAGCTTCAGTACTACTTTTCTGGGGATCCTTCCAAGGCTGCTCACCTTACGGACCACAGATTTCCATTCTCTTTTCCCCTGGCCTTAACTGTCTCTTCATAATGATATTTTCCTTGGCAAGACTTTTTACTATTGTTTGCATTTTCCTATTGTTTCACAATTGTATGGATTATTAAAAGTCGCCCCAAGTCCTACACTGAAGCAGGCAGGAATAAACAGACACAAGGAATAATAATTAGTTTTTTCTAGACCAGCTTACCTCTCTGAGCCTCAGTTTCCCACGTGTAAAGGGACTCGGCTGGGTCACAGGGATCAGGTGGCCTGCATTCACATAAGGCTCAAGATTCAAATCTCGACGGGGCAACCAGGGACTGGGACGGGGACCCGATCGTGCCTCGCGCGCTCCCCCATCTCCGTCTTCGGATCCAGCCAGCAGCTGTTTTCCCGCGCCCCTCGGCCCCAACCTGCCGGCTCGGCCCCAATCTCCCGAGCGGACTCACCTCACACGCCAGGTGCCGGCGCTCATGCTCGGAGCCCGGCCGCCAGGGCGGCGCGGGGACCTGGGCGCGCTGCTCCTCGGAGGGGGCGGGCAGACGCGGCTCTGCCCACGCTGCGTGCGTGCGTGCGCCGCGAAGGGCGGCGGGGCTCCAGCCTTTGTTCCTGTGTGGAGCCGGGTTGTTTTCCACTCGGCTCCCGGGGGTCTGCCCCGGCCGCGGGAGCCTGGTGGCTGCAGCGGCAGCCATACTCCGGCCCGCAGCCAGCGCGAAGCGTTGCGGGCGGGTGTTAGTGCCGCGCCTGGGGGCCCGCCCATCATGGCTGCACATTAAGCAGCTTTATCTCCACGAAAACAAGGGCCGGCACTTAGGCCACCCGGCGGGAATGTTGACCCAACATTCCTGGGTACCTGGGCTGCAGTCCGCAACAACTTCAGGGCTGGACCTTGATTCAATTCTGAGCGTCCACTGCCCAGGACACTTGCCGCAGCTCTCCCGGGAGCTCTCTGCCCAACCTTAGACAAACCTGCCGGTCTCCCTGAACCACAGTCTCCTTTCCTCTAATATGAAGGTATTCGTTCTCTCACTACTGTGAGCAGGACACTGTTCTAGCCACTAAGTATTCATCAGTCAACACGACAGTCATTGAACATAAAACTGAAAGGGATTTATGAAAAGCACGTAAAGTTTGATATCAGGGCAACCAAACCTTGTTGTGGGGTCAGGAATGGCCTACATTAATTTTTCTAAATTCTCCCGGTTCTAACATTTATCCGTATTCCCATTATTAGGGGCTTATTATTTATTATTATTAGTGATAGCAATAGTAATATTGCTTACTAAGTGCCAGGTACTGTATTAAACATTTTACTTTATTTTCTCACTCATCTCATTCAGAACTTCCGTAAGAGATAGGTGTGATTATTATTATTATTATCATCCTAACTTGAGAGAGAAAACTAAGGCAGAGAAATTAAAGTAACTTGCCCACTGTTAAACAGCAACTAAGGGACAAGACGAGTATTCAAATTCAGATTGTCCAAGCCACAGTGTACTTAACCACTTCTCTACACCCATAAAAATATGGAGACCACAATGGTGGTGTATCTTGAATGTGATGGGTAAAACAATAGAAGGGGTGAGAGTTGGTTTAGCCTGTTGAGGAAAGAAAAACAGGAAGTTGAGAGCTTAAAAAGAGCTAATGCATGGATTAGACTTAACCTGAATGACCTTAGAGGTCACTAGCACAGTGAAGCTATAGGGAGACATACTGCAATACATAAGGAAGAACTTGTTTAAAAATCAGAATATTTCAAAAATGATAATTGTTGCCTAGAAAGAGTGAGCCTCCTGTCATTAAGTCAGCATTCAAGCAGAGAGGTGTATTAGGGATGCTTCAAAGAAGAGTGATGTAAAAATTAAAAACTGGTTTGGGTATCTCTAAGTTTCCTTCCAATTCTGAAGGAATTCTGGAGGGAAACAGCCCTAGAATGGTTAAGTGACTAGTCCAGAGTCACCAGGGAGTGAAGACCTGACTGCGAAACCAAGTCTGACCTCTAGATCAGACTTTCTGTTTGTGGGTAAGGGTCTTGTGAGTGCGCAGCCTCCTGTAAAGTGTGTGTGTGTGTGAGCCATCTTTTCCTGGATGTGTGCAATCCTCTGCTTTACCTGTTTCACTTTACATTGCTAATATGTGCCCTTCCTCCTTGCTTGTGTTGAGTATTCTGTATTGTCAGATGCAAGTGTCAGACCCCCCTGAGCAATGGCTGTATTATAGGGGTCCCAGAGTTAGTGGGTCCCTACTCCCCTAGAGAAATTATGTGGGAATTTAAGGAAAAGAAGCTGGATAGTAGGTTCATTTCAAATTGATATTTCTTTGATTCTAGTTTACATCTTTGGGTTTTCTTGAGTTAAATTTCTAATTCAAGGCACTAATTCCCCATCTCCATCCTAGTCACAAATACTTTGATGAGCAGCAATCTAGTTGTCAACTTCAGAAGAGGTATTCTTTTCTTGTTGCTCTAGAGAGCTGTTTGTTTTCAATTGGAAATATCTAACAAAGGAATCCAGCTGCTTTGGGGACTGATCACTAGCACATTTACAAAGAAATGGCCATTAACTTGCTCCAGGGACACTAACTCAAAGATAAAAAGAGTTCCCCTTCACTTCTACCCTCAGTAGAGTGATCAATTTTTAAAATTTATTTTTTGAAAAGAAAATATATTTACCTGGTTCAAAATTCAACAGTCATAGCTACAACTAATTGATCTTTGGATTTCTGTAGGCACCCGGCATATTGCGTTGTACACAGTAGGTGCTGAATAAGTGTTTATACACTAGGTAGACACTAGGAAGTTGTGGGAAACGGAGGAAGAGGTGGTTTAGGGTGGGGCAGCAGACATTTTGCCTGAGGTTCATAGGCTTAAAGGGAACCCAGACAGGACTCCCAGACCAGCTGCAAATTTGACCATGACTTTATCCAGGGATCTGCGCATCAGACCTTTTTGGGCTGAGCCTTACCCAAAGACTACGTACTGGCCGGAGTCGTTTGGTTGCAGGCAACAAAAACTGATTCTGGTTAACTGAAGCAGAAAAGGAATTTACTGAAAGAGTATTGGGGAGCTCAAAGAATCAGTGGGAAGGCTGGAGAACTGGCTAAGGAATGCAGACAGACCCACAGAGGAAACTATGCCGCAGGAAAAATGCTGCAGCTGGACACTGGCAATGCCCTGGGGATGGTACTATAGCTGACGCAGCTGCCATCAGTGCCACCAGATATGGAATGCCACACTCCCAGAATAAGTTTCACACTTTACCTGCTTCCCTTGTCTTCCCTCTCCAGAATTACAATCCTGGAGGGGCTGCCTAATCAGCCAGGCTTGGGCTCCAAGCAGTCAGCAGTCAGGGAAAACTGAAACCGTTCATAGAAGCCAGAAGCCTATGAACTTCTGGCTTCAATGAGTGAAATGCAGGGTCCTGCCTCACACAACGGACTGTTCTCCAAACTTATAAAGGCAATTTGGAGGCTAGGCAACTAGGAAAATGATGCATGTCCACTATACAGTCATCTTTTAATAATTTGTAGGGCCAAAATAGAAAGAATTAAAGAGCATAAAGTGCTTAATGCAGCACCCGAACTGAACTCTCCAAACCAGAAGTGGATGTTATAGTCATTACTCACCCTTTTAAAATTTCAGCTGATCAGAGAATTTCTGTACAGCACCAATACTTTCTTCTCAAACCTTTTCCTCCTCTGTGTTGTTGGAATCACTTACAATTGCAGTCAAACAAAGAAAGGTTGAGAAGAAAGGCAAACTGTGCCAAAGGTATATTAGCACAATAGGAGCAGTTCCATGAACCTAATAAATCCAGTTGATTTTTCTGGTAAGTTTTTTTTTTAACTGCTACCTCTCCTACAGTCTGAGTGTTGGTATCATATCTATTTTTTCATTCAACTTTGTGAAACCTATTACTCTAATTTCTACAATAATTATAAAAGTAGGTGCTAATTACAAAAATCAAACGAATATTCATATTTGACCTGATTGTTTATAGGTCATATTGCATGATCAAAACCGAAAGTTTCTGTGATGACTGCCCTTGTACTGTTCACCATGTAAGAATTTATTCACTATGTAAGAATTCGTTCACCATGT